GTCAGAAGGCCAGTTACCTGATCCTCTGGTGGCGGGGGCCACTCTGCCTCACTGGCTGCATCTGCCAGAAAACCCCTTGGATCAATAATGAACCATATTTAAGAAAAAACAGCCATTAGGTGCAAAACTGAGCAACCAGTGAGTTCCCTGCTGTCTCCAAGTTTAAAAGACAGTAAAATCACTTTATCTCAGCTAGTCCCTGCCCTGAGTTCAGTTCAGTAGGACCAGAATCTGACCTTCTGCCTCTCTTCAGCCTGCTCCTCCCTGGAGAGATGACTTTTGTTGGCTTCAGTTGTAGCCATGTGTACTTGTATGTCTGAGTGTAATTGGGCCCTCTGATAGTTACCTATCACTCCCACTGATACTCACACTGACTTCATGTACTGAAAGGCTACTGCTGACAGATGAAGTAGTCAAGGCTACTCTTCCTGATGGAGATGATAGTTGAGCATCTGAGACATAATGGTGAAGTTTATCATGGTATGAGGGATGGATTTTTGGTCTTCATTGACTTTCAGGATGCTGCATGATCAATATTTTTCAGTTTTGTTTGCTTTCTGTACCAGAGTAGCAAGATGGTCCAGCCTCTTTTGTATAGAGGATCAGGTTCCATTTTTAGGACACTTCTCCTTTCCCTCTGCAAAGTGGAAAATGCTTAACTGTTCGGTTTGACATACTAACAGCTCTTCCCATCTTCCCCACAGCAAAGACAGCAAACCAGATGGAATTGATGGTTAGGCCACCCTGTAGAGTAGACAGAACTCAAAATAATTTTAGCAGGAGGATATTTTGGTGTAAAGCTATTCAACACTTTTCAGTTAAATAGAGAGATGTTACCATATTTCTTCAAAATTATGCATTCTTTGAAGTGGGCCTTATTACAGGCATGCCACTGCTTTCTGAATTTAGCTGCAGGTAGCAGTAACTTGCTTTCTGTTTCTTTGTCTTAACTTTAGCTTAAAGCAAAACATTCAGTACTTAATGTTTGATTTCCCTTATATATGATAGAAGACAAGGTATCCTCAAACACAATTTGACAATTTTCAACTAACTAAAAGCATCATTTGGCCATAGACTTTCTGTAAATGGGACTTTGCTGCTCAGTAGGAAAAAACTACTGAAATCATTAATTTCCACTGTTAAAAGCATTTTCCCCCTCATTATTAGAGAAGAGGAATGAAATCACTGCATCTTCTGTCCAGATGACTCACATAACCAGAGCTAGTTTGAGTTCCATTTTTCCCATCCTTCTCTCTGGAGATCCCCAACAATGAGCTCATATCCATACCAAATCTGGATTAATATGAAGTCATGTACCCTAGCTTTCTCTTTTTCTCCAGTGATGTCTTCTCAGCCAGCAAAGACAGTCTCTCTACTGTAATAGAATCCAACTCCTAATTTCCTGCCATTTTTATTCTCCTATGTTAGTTTCTCTTTGACAGTAAATTAATCCTGGTTGGAGAATATTTCCTTAGCCTCTATTCTGTTTAATGTTTCTTGGTTTAGGACATTAGTAATGATTCAATTTTGCTCCTACAGTAATGCTATGTACACTATGGCAAATGTGTGAACTTACCATATCCCTCATCCACACTTCTTACCCACATCATTACCTTCTGTTTCTTTAATGAGGTCTTCATGCCTGGAGAGGCAAATGTTCCATGTTCAGGACAGTGACCAGAAAGCAGCTGGAGTACTATCAGCTATGACAAATATTGAAACTTCAGAGAGATTTGTCATTTTTGCCATAGCCCCTTCCAGATCTTCAGATAAATACATGGAGCTAAGCAAACATTGATTAATGAGATAGGATGGTTTTTGTCACATACATGTTCTTCTTCAGTAAGAGGAGATTCCATTTTCTCTACCTGGGTATTTTCTGATCAGTTCTTCAGGTAGGGACAGTACTGACAATACAGAGCCGAGCCCAGAAAGTGAAATGATGTGGTTGCGCTTCCATGCATGGGTCAAGTTGGCATTGCACCCTGAAGCTCACTTGCTGAAGCCTAATCAGTCAGTATCATTTGTGCCCTTTGTGTTGCCCTAAATTTATTAGCACTTTGACCATGCTGACACATTCAGATACATCTTTAATAACCCAGTCTTCAAAAACATCTTAAGGTTCTCTGCCAGTGGGTGGGTATGCATCTTTTCTCTCATCAGTAATTTGAAAAAGGTCAGTCTCAGTCTGTCCTTGTATCTCTATTTTTTATACTTTCTCAACCCTGCTAAATAAAATACAAAGTTTTGCTATTTTGACTGTAACTTGCACTCTGTTACACTCATTTTCCTTTATAATGTGGTTTCTGTGATTCTGTTACTTCTCATGCTATTGGTTGCAGACCTTTAGCATCTTCTCTTGTCAATATGACTCTTCCTGACCAAGTCCCTTCTTTAGCACCATTCCTACATATTGCATATTTCCTACATTCTTAAAACAAATATAATTGGCCAGTGTGGTATATGATTGCACTGCACAACTCATGCCTAGGTTGGCCTATTTCTTTTCCAGTCATTCTTTTGACCTGAATCCATAAGTGCTGAGGCAGCACACTGTAGTGTGTTGGAAGCAGAACCAAGTGCCACTGAAGTCTCCCCAGTAGCACAAACACAAAAACATTTTTCTTACCAGCAGTTTTCTTCTCTCAGGCTTTCATTGATGCAGGCTCAATACTTCCAGTGATTTCCACAGATGCATTGGCTTTTTTAGTACATAAAGAAAGTTGACAGAAGAGAGAACCAGAAATTGTGGTCCGTTCAGCTGCCTTATATTCAGCAGATGCCAGTCATTTGAACTGTTCTCAGATTTCTTCGTGTTCTCGATCACGTCTCATCTTTGGAAGAAACATTAACCATTGTGCAGAAACTTGAATTACCAATTTCCTCTTTCTTCCAAACAAAAAGCAAAGATGGGCAAGACTCCTTCCGCCTTTCTAATGTTAGCTTTCCTATGATTTTAAAGAAATTAGTTATCTAGTTTGGGTGTGTCACTGCCTTATCACTTGCACAGTACTAATTTCCTCTAGTATTTGAAGGTAGCTGCAGTGTTTTCCCAAGTCTGATCCGTTTTCAAGTCTCTTTACTGGCTGAAATCATATTCCTTTGTATTTTTCATATTCTTCTGTTTCAAATAAACCTTTATTGCAAGCCCAGGCCCTTGTACGTAGACCAGTGACTTGTAAGCTGTGATCTGTGGGTTACAGGTATATGCGAGGTCATCATCAGGAGTCCATATAGCCATATCACTTAAATATCGCTTTCTGTTAAGTTTAATAAAAAAACCTGCGCACTGATCCATTTTTATCTATATAATTTGGAAATTTGACAACAATGCACAACTCTCACAAGCTAAGAACCATTGCTTCAGACTGCTCCCGGTCATAATCATAGAAATTAATAGGTGGATTTTGCTTTCATTTACTAATGAAGACCCTGTTGAGTGTAATACTGTAACCATGAGCCCAGTGAAATATCATTATTGTTGGAGAGAATAAAGCATCACTACATGCCACTAAGTAAATCAAATGTTCTTTGTTACATCCAGAGTCTTAATTAGAGCCTCCTTGCACTCTTTAAGCGAGTTACATACCTCAGTAATCTCTCTCTTTGTAGTTCTCTGTAAGCTCCTCAAAAGCCAAATCCATAAATAAACCTGCTAATGTGGAAAGGAGCAATACAATCTCTTACATGTTTCAGAAGCATGGGGTAGGGTTTAGGTGGTTTGTAATGGATGTAGTAGTACCAGAGCTACAGTTCCAGGGCCAGAAGATTAGTGTCAGAAATTATCCCGTGTCTCAGAACTGTGCAATTCAGAATCTAAGATTTAGCCGTAAGGAGATGAGAGTGAACAAATTGGTTTCCGGTTGTTGCGCTTTAGGAAAAATATTCCAAACAAGACCAGAATGTCAAGTTAACAGAGAGGACTATGATGAGATGTGAAAGATAACCATTTTCCTGTAGAAAGTGTTTACTCTGAAACCTAATTAACATGTCACTTCTGTTTCTGTAGATCATTTCAACACCAATGTCAGTCTAATGTTTTTGCCTTGGAGGCAGTGACCATTACAGGTGTGGGCAGCAATGGGGCTCTTGGTCATTAGTAATTTTTGTGGCAAGGAGCTAAGAAGTCAATTATTAAAACAATCACCACTAACATAATTCTGTAAGAAGGAAGGAAGGCAGGCAGGCAGGCAAGCAAGCAGGCAGGCAGGCAGGAGGAGGTATCCTTCTTTTGACTGAGCACTTAGAGGTACGCTGGCTGCTAAAACTAGTGCAACTTTCAGTCCTTGGAGTATGAGGCTTCCTTGAACAATATACTTGATAGTTTCAGGCGTTTTTAATTATCTCAAGCTTGTGAAGCACTCTTCTACTTCTGGGGACTGTGATACCTGAGCTATGAACTAATCACCATAACACAGTGAGCGGGGCTATGCATTAAGAGCAGCAAAGATGGCAGACATAGGGATGGGGAATTTTACATGGCCCACCAGACATTTTTATCTCCAGACTCCAGTACGATATTGTTTGGCCATAGAATAATCTTTAAAATCCCAAATTAAAAAGTTTAGTTACATAACTGGGCATAGCAGAGCTAAACTTTGAGGCTAGGTCTAAAAAAGACAAAGCTTGAGAAATGACCGGTCTGTTAAATAGAAGTGCTTGCATTTGAGTTGTGTATGAAGTGATCTCTGTGTGTAGTTTATATGCATCAATTTAAGTTTGGATGGCAATTAGGGTTATTTCAGGATGAAAGGTATGATATACATGAAAGCTGCTTTTGTGGTTATATTACTAAATAATACATTTCTATCACATAATGTAAAACATCCACTGCTTTATTTATAGTGCTTCACTGCAACCATATTTTACTATCATGAGACATTCCTTGACCAAAAATGTTGTTTCTAATCACAGAGTAAATTAATAAGATTGAGTGACTACAGTCTAAATCTTTTTTAAACTAATCTAGTCAAATATGTGCTACCATAACTAGGCCATAGCAGTGTGTGCTGCCGTGCAAGAGACTAGGGTTTAATTCTTGGATTCTGCTTCTCACTCCATGAGCAGGAGCTAGGAGCACTCCAGAGCTGCAGCCTCAACCCTGGGAGGGATGGAGCCTTGTGTCATTCAACAGCAGTGACCCCCACTGGCCAATTTAAGGAGAAGCATTGAGGGGCTCTAAAAGGAGTCACTTCCAGTCCTCCTCAGAGGTTGGTGGTCATTGCACGGGATCTAGTGAGTGGAGGTTCAATGGGGTGCACTCGGTGGGGTCTTCAGCTTTCAGTCTGAGGAGCAGAATCCTCTCTGGGGAGGAACCAGCATGTGCGCTTCCTGAGACACTATTTTTGCCTGACATAACTATAAGTGGCAGGATTGTCAAGAATATATATATTATTTTTTTAAATGTCCTGTAACTAATGCTGTGATATCTATCTTTTAAATAGAACGAGGGAAAACTCCACTAACCTCAATATAATTGTAGTTTAATTCCCAGAGAGAGAGAGAGAAAGGTACTTAATAGCATGGAGAAATATAAGTGCAAACTGTCCTCTCAGTGGGTGTCATTATACTAAAGGAATAATATTTGCAAAGATTCTGAGAAATTAGAGATGGAAATACTGACAAGGTCATTGAGCATCTCCCCGCTGGTGCACAAACGTTTCCTACCACAGACTGAGATTTTTCCCACCTAACTCAGCCCAGAGTTAGGTGACCTGAGCAGCAAAGGCAGTGCTGTCCTCAGTCTGCGGTTCTCGGTAACAGGAATATTGTCTTAGCAGTGGGGGTTACATTTTCATTTACGTAATGTCATCTTAGTACCCCAGTGTGCATCTCATCAGATTGGCCTAAAGCGGTCCTCTTCCTTTCAGTGCTTGCAGCTGTTAAGCATATGTACCCCTCCCAACCATTTGGTGGATGTAATACATATCTAATTCTTTCACGTGGCCTCCCCAGCCAGCTGTTCTAGCCCCATCGTTATTTCTGGTGCGCTTTCTAAGTCTCATCAGAGTTGCCAGCCTCTTGCTGGTATGGCAACAGGGAGAACTTGAGGTCCGTACTCAGGAGCGTTGAAGTAAGAGGAACTGTTGCCACCTCGATCTGTGTTTCTGTGTTTCAGCCCCTGCGGTCCTTTTTGCCTGCCGTATCACACTGCACGCTCAAACCCAACTTGCTGTCCTCTGCCAGGTCTCTCTTGTCATTAGTGCTCTCGCAATACAACAGGGTCAGGTCTGTTTCAGCAGTGCACACTAGACATTGTCTGTTGTTCAGAGGGACGAAATAAATTAGGGTAAACTTTTGGTCATAAACACTTACCTTTTAAACTTCTATGTCGCAAAGCTCTGTGTGCGTTTTATTTAACCAAATATTTTATGGATATATGGAGTAACAAAATGTAGACAATGTAAAGAAGAAATTATGTAAGAGTTTCCATCTACTCACAAATTTTTCACATAGCACAGGCTGAAACTGTGATATAAACATTCTTCTGTAGCACGTCAGCCTTTGCTGAGGGATATTGAGAAACAGCGTAAATACTTACAGGCAATAATTTGTATCGTTTCATGGTGAAGGAAGTACCTATCTGGCTAAAAAGAAACCTTATTGAATGCAAACATTTGTCTTCAGTTTGGTTTTTACAAATACTTTTACATTCATAAGGAGGAACAGATCCTTTAAAATGCAAATCTGTTGTTCTCTAGGATTCTCGGAAGGGCTTGTTAAATCAGCAGGTACAAAGCTAGACATCCGGAATTACCGCACTTTCACCAAATGCTAGCTGATGCCCTGCCACCTGAGCTGCATGAAAAGATGCATCCCACGTATTTCTTTAGCAGTTAGCACAGCAGCCTGATTCTCCGTTGAACAGAGAGAACAGGAGAGCTCTCTGGCTTTGCACCTTTGCTTTCCAATCTCAAGTTTGCACCTTTCTATCCCATGCTGGTTAGGTTTTTTGCAGCAAACGTGTGATGCACTGGAGTACAGTAGGCGGTTTACTTGTTTTCATGGAAGGACAATTTGTACTTAAAGCAGTGATTAGATGAATTCTTTCTTTCTTGCATGCTTCAGTTTTTGATGACTACTAGCTTCATCAGTGTAATTATAATTAGCACTCTTCATCTTCCTTTTACGGTACCAGCTGGACAGATTGGTCCTCTTACTGCACAGATTGGCGGCAGGGTTGCCTACATGGAGTTAGGTGACAGGCACCATGAAATAACAGATGGCAAATTCAGGGCTTGTTGGCAATCAGCAGGTTTTTGCTAATGACTTAATTAGCTATGCAAATTGTCAAATCAGTGTGAACATTGTTTTTATCGAAAACTTTACCTAAATTAATTACCATAATTAAGTAGCAGAATGTCAAGTATATTGGATGCGTAAAAGGGCTTGGCTGGCTATGGATAAGAGAGGTACCATCTTTATTAGAGTGCTGCGCTCCACATTCGAGAAGTCTGAGGATAAGCAATGCGGTTTCGTTTAAACTACTTGTAAAATACGCATGTCACCGAGTTGCAACTGAGACCCACCCTGGTGCCTTTCCAAATAAAACGGCTCAGGGAAGAACTACTGGATGAAGGCTAAATATTTCAAGCAGGAGTTTAAGGCAATTTCGTAGCCTGCTTATTTGCTTAAAATCATGCACATTTTTCAGTCTACCTGCTTTTCAGTTCTGGGGTTTCTGAGATCCAGAGCCATGAGCATGCAGCTAGAGAGATGTGTTACATTTTTCATTTAAATTAGAAATAAAGCATAAGCCTGTCTCCTGGTTCCTACTATGCAGGAACTTTTGACTCTGTTGTTCAAATATCACAAAGTTAAGAGACGCAAATTCTCTAACATAATTTTTTTAAGTTGATTTTTTCTCTCTCAAGGTTTCCATATAACAAATATTGGGTGCTGTTCACAGGATGTGATGGTGGTAGGAGAACCAACTCTGATGGGAGGCGAATTTGGGGACGAAGATGAAAGGCTTATCACTAGATTAGAGAATACACAGTATGATGCAGCAAATGGCATGGATGATGAAGAAGATTTCAACAATTCACCTGCACTGGGAAATAACAGCCCGTGGAACAGCAAACCTCCTGCTAATCAGGAGACTAAATCGGAAAACCCCACACCACAAGCTTCCCAATAGATTATTCTGCAGCAGTACCCACTGCAACATATGTCAGTGGGTTATTAATTACTGTTTCCCAGCATTCTTCAACATAAAATTTAAAAAAAACACCTTTCAACAGATACATTATCTATTTCTAAACTAAAGCTATCTGATTTTTTTTATTTAGGGAAAACTCTTGTATAAGCTTCCATATACATTTCGTGGAAGCATTCACATACAACATGATACTGGCACTGACCTCAATTAAAATAATTGAAAATTAAATAGCATCTCATGGCAAATTTCTGACAATGCATTTTATTGGAAGGGGTTGGTTTTTTCCTCATCAAACAATGGCCATATTTTAACAAGTCATCAGTGCTCAGGATCTCATTAACGTAACTATGTAAAACTTTTTACAATTGTAATATATTTTCTGCTTTTCAACTTGCACCTGAAATTTCTTGTTTCAGAAAAAAAAAATCAGCTTTTAAGGAAAAGTAATTTAAAGTAACTTTTGTTCTTTCTTTAACTTTTCTTTCATTGGTTAATCATTTAAAGGATCCAGCATTTTTAATTTACATTTAGCTGATGCCAGTAGATACTCTTTCCATCATTTAATAAAAATGCTGAAACAAGAAATGTCTTTTTTTCATCAAAGACATGAGAAATATTTTTATGTGGAAAAAGACACCCAGTCCTATGAGAGTTTATGCTTTGTAAAATTGCTGTCGATCCAGATATTTTAAAGCCATGTAATCCATTAACTTTGTGGGCAGCTTAATAAATCTAAAACTTTTGTGTTTTTATTATTGTATCTGAGTTGGCTTCGTTGTTATTTCTTTTCATAGTATATTTCTTGTATAATATTTTTGTAAAGCCCTCAAACCATTTTTTGGTTTACTTTTTTTTTTTTTTTTATTCCGGTGTATTTATGTGAAACTTTATAAAAGAAACTAATTTTTTCATTTACATATTAATATGTTCAACTCATCATGTAAAGACACAGTGAGTCAGTGTGTTATATAATACAACTGTATTTTATGTATGCTTTGCCAATAAGTGTGCCAATAAACTGTGTTAACAAATGTGCTCTTATATAGTGCATTTACAGTTCCTTGCATGCAAAAGACACACGCCCACGTGCAGGATCACGCACCAGGAATTTTTGGAATTAGTGTTTCGCTGAATTACACTCTTTTTCCAGCAAAAAGGGAAGTCTATGGTTTAGGTGTGAATCGCTCACAGCTCCATTTGGTTACATGCTCTTTTTTTGACATAACGATGTGTAGCACCACAGGTCGGTAACAGCAGCGAGAGCCAAGCGCGCGGAAGTGCAGGGCTTCCAGCAAGCGCCCTTCCAGCCTGAACTCTGCCTCCCTCGCCTGCCAGGGCTGGGGCTTATCAGAGCAGGGATTTCCACTCTGCTGAATTCTGTCTGATAGTTTTACGAGGAGTCCCTCAACTGGGGCTGAGAGGATTTTAAAAATTCTCCTTCTTTCTTCCCTTTGCTATCAGATCAATTGTTCACAGGAGCAAGCAAAACCTCTGGACTGGTGCAGCCGCTCTGAATACATCCTGGTGTGTAAAGCCCCTCGGCTGAGCTGGCGGGCACGGAGGCCCACGCCTGCATCCCGAGATGGCTGAGAAGCCCTGCAAGGTGCACCTTGCGAGTGGCAAATACTTGTGGGGAGAATTACCGACACAGAGATGCTGAATCGACACAATCCTGCCTTTTGTGCAGGGGAGCGATGTTGCACTCTTGACTGAAACTGTGCTTTTAATATTACTGGCGTTATAAAAGCATCTGAAGAACTCCTGTTTTTTTCTAAGTGTATTCAGAAGCCACTCTAAGGAAATGTGTCTCCCAAACGTATACAGATATTTTTCAAGTATGCTTTTGCCAGATGTGATTCCATCAAATAGTTTTGAAGTCACCGTTGCAGAAGAAGTATAGGGCAACGCACCCTGCATGGCCACTTGGTTCTACAGTGGCAGACAGCTCCCTCCCTGCCCAAAGAACGAACCTAAGCCTCTGATGTGGGCCCCATTGTCCTGCAAGCAAAATCCTCATCCAATGAATTTTGGCACCAACGGTAGGCCTTGCAGGAAGGCAGCCTAGACGATACAAAAGCGTATCTACGGTAGGGTAGAACTTAAAACTAAGTAAGTAACAAACACAGATTGAGCGTATCCACATAGGTAGCGACGCTGCTCCTTCATAACACTTGCAGGATGTAGGAGACAGTAGGTCTATCATTCAGTGACTCTATCAGCCCTGATTTTTCCATGTAAATAATTAAATTCACAATGTATTCCATTAAGGGATCACTGGCTTCTATATAGCTGCTATAACATTACAATTACACACTGTAATTCTAATGTTCAAAAACACTAATCATTCATATTACATTTCCATGAGCACACTCTAAAAGGCGTTCCTTATTATTAATTTTTCAAGACTGGCACTACTATTTCAATTTTTAAAAGATTTATGATGTCATATTACTCCTGTTGTTTCAGTAAATAAACACAAGAACACTTGAAAAATGGGTAAGACACTCCTTAGAGTGCTGTCCTTGAATTAATCTGGAAGGACACTTTCTTCATATCTCTTCAAAAACCCCGTCCACAAGCTATCAATCCACCCTATTGTGGTTAGGCTGAATAACAGACGGAGCTAGCTGATTTAGTTTATTCACTTATTTATTCATAAAAGAAAATGTCCAAATGGGCCAGCTCAGTGAAGTGGTTTGAGGCGAAGAGCAGCTGACCACACAGCATCGGCATCGCCACTTCCTTCATCCCCATGCCCTGGGCTGCTGCATTGGCCTTTCTTACCGTGTTTCAAACGACATGGTAAACTCATCAAGACGCAGCCTGTGGTCCTGTGTCTGATGCCATGTGCTTGTGCCCTGTCCTCGGGAACGCTCCCTACAGGTAGAGAGTTAAGGTACAGCAGTGGCATTCAGTGCTGGATTTTACGCCTTTCGGTCATGGCTTGTAGTTAAATGATGCCACAGCTTTTGTGTGCTCCGTGACCGTGATGCAGAGAAGTGGGTAAGGTGAATAAAGATCACAGGTGAGCTGGAGTAACACATTCGTGAGAGCTGAGGTCGCAGCCTGAAGAACGCAAGCTTGAAACCAACAAGGAATTTTACTGTAATCTAATCTCGCCACGCCACCTAAAAGAACATTGTACCTCTCTTAGAATTTGGAAGGAAATAAGGTTGTTGACACTTTCCTCTGGGGACCCCTGCAATTATTAAAAGGAGGAAGGAAATTTATCTCACGATGCTGAAATACTTTCAAAGAGAAAGCTTTTGTTTGTTTTAGCTAAATGGAGGGAAATACTGGCCCTGAGAAGTGCCCTCACAAATCGGAGGGAGGAAATTCCAGGAGTTTACTTAAAAAAGCAGAATCATACAATTAGTAAAGTGACTGAGTAAGAACATTTATAACTAAGCTGGTTGCTGTTACAAAGGACTCGGACCAGGCAAGAATCATAAGCACTAGTGTTTCAGTTATTCTTTGTTTGGGGATTTTTTGTTGTTGTTGTTCTTGGGTCAGCAAAGTCCACTTCTCAGGGAGCTTCCAACTCACATGAGTCACCAGCTGGTCTCACCAGCTGCCCCTTGTGAAAACATTTCAGTTCTTAAAGCTCCTTCTTTCTCCCCTTTCACAACAGGAAGCAATATTTGCAGCTTTGCAGTAAGAAGGTGTCCTCAGGTCTCATCTTTCTGTTGGTATGTATGAATGTAATAATGTTGTAGAATAACTCAATTTGGAAGGGACCTTGGGAAGTACGGCTAGCATTTGTATGCTTGTAGCATCATTAGGGCTCAGTGAAAGTCATAAGCAACTAATTTTTAACCTTGGTCCTGGAGAAGGTATTACTCTCGCATGGCGGGGAAGTGTGACCAGCTTGCATCCTTGGGGAACAGAGCAAAAGTACCTGTTCCCAGAGAGCTGCCAAGGAGAATCAGTCTTGAAGGGGGCAGAGATGGGGGCAGAGGAGAAGGAAACTACAGAACAGAAGCGCAAAATACTGAGCGTTACTGGGTGTTCTCTAACACCAGGGTGGGGAGAGGTTCCTTCCCCAGCCTTTGCTGAGAAACACCGTTAAAGGAACCTAAATGCTAGAACCAGGCATAAGAACAGACTAAATTTTGCAATTTCATGGCCTCCATGAAAATCCCATTTTAGCAAAGACAGGATGAAAGAGAAAACATGAATGATTGATATTGAAGAAAACCCAGTTTGTGCCTAATATATCCTGGAGAAACTGCTAATGGAAATTGAATAGTCCTGAAAATATTTCCTGAGACTGCAACTCTGATCAAGTAGCCCTATGGTGATATATTGCACGTCCAAATTAAAGCTGCCCTGGGGCACAAGTTAAAACCAGCAGCTGGTTTTACTGTGTAGAACTGGATGATTTGTATGTTTTTTCTAGCTTTTCGACAGCATATTTTTATACCAGGTTAAGGCCTGAATCTTCTACTATGTAAGGGGAGCTACTGAATATTTAACATCCCATAGCACTGATGTTACTCTAGCATATCATTATGCTTCTATTAGGAAGTGTGGTGGTACCTCAGCACTGCAGAATGGCAGATGGTACCTTTAGATAAAAAGTCACTTACAGAAGCCTCCAAATTTATGGACCATGATGCTATGTTTCATGAGAAAATATGAATTTCCACTGAGTGTTCACACTATTAAAACCTGTTCTAATTTAGCATGTTATTTTGACAGCAACTAGTAACAGTTCTTTCAAAGGGAGAGGCTTTACTAGGATCAGTGATGGAGCAATCTAACTGTAGGAGCATTTCTTCCATGACCCTATGAGTCACTTCTGAAATAAAAGTACTATATTTCTTACATCAAGAAATAATTGTAATGAGTCTAAGGGCAGTCTTAATCCATAAGCACATTTTAAAACACCATTATGCACTAAAGATGACATCAGAGAATAACACATTTGTGCATATAGATTCAAAAACTTTATGAAAACCATCCAACCACAACAGAGCACAAACACTTCAGTTCCTCAAGAAACTCCTGATTGTGCTTCCATCAAATTAACAGGGAGCAAAATGAGATTGACAAGCTCTAGTTTGGGTAAGTTACTCAATGCATCCCTGATAACTCAGGTGCTGAATGCCATTACTGCACATTAGTGGGGGAATGGGCTTCAGCTGAACCCAGATAGATAAAAGCCCATGCATGGTGCCTCTATTCCTGTTGGACACCCGCATTTAGGATCTTGTAGATCTGTGCTCATAGCTGGAGTCTGAAATTCTTCAGGTTGGTTTTCTTTTCTTTCTGTGTGTGATTGTGAGAATTTTATGAGGGTAAGGATTTATTGGGTTTGTTGGTGTTTGTGGTGTTTTTTTTTCATTTGTACTGTGATCTATGATATAAATACT